TCTCTGACACTCTCATCCTGATTATCCCAGTGACTGAATCAATTCACCTCATAGAGGGTCTTCCCCTCCTGCGCTGTCCCTCCACCCTCCCAAGCAGGATGTCCCTCTCCAGTGACTGGTCTCTCCTCACAACATGTTCAAAGTATGTTAGATGGAGCCTCAGAATCCTTGCCTCCAAGGAGCCACCCGGTTTAACCCTTTCCAGGATGAATCTGTTTGTTTTCCTAGCAGTCCATGGTACTCTCAACACTCTTCTCCAGCACCACAGCTCAAAGGCATCAATTCTCCTTCTATCCTCCTTGGTCATTGTCCAACTCTCTGATGCATAACAAGTGATTGCAAACACCATGGCCTGTATCAGACGCACCTTAGTCTCCAAAGAGACACCATTGCTTTTCAGTACTCTGGAGAGGTCCCTAACAGCAGACATTCCCATGGCAATGCGCCTTTTAATTTCCTGGCTACTGGTGCCAAGAGTGTTGACTGTGGAGCCAAGCAAACTAAAACTGTGAACAATCTCAATCTCTTCACCATCCATCCTGATGCTGCCAATTGGTCCAGTGGTGAGAATCTTTGACTTCTTGACATTGAGCCTCAGTCCATATTGAAGGCTGCAGTCCTTGACCCTCTGCAGCAGGTGTTTCAGGTCCTCCTCAGTTTCAGCAAGCAGGGTTGTGTCATCTGCATAACGCAGATTGTTGATAGATCGTTCACCAATCTTGACCCCCCATTTCTCCTCATAGAGCCCAGCCTTCCAGATAATCTCTTCTGCATACAGGTCGAAAAGCTATGGAGATAGGACGCATCCCTAGTGTACGCCCTTCCCAATTTTGAACCATGCAGTGTTCCCTTGCTCTGTTCTGACTACTGCCTCCTGGCCCAAGTATAGGTTTCGCATTAGAATGATCAAGTGTTCTGGGATTCCCATTCTTCTCAGAGTCAGCCAGTTTGTTATGATCCACACAGTCAAACGTCTCTTTGCATAGTCAATAAATGACAGACATTCCTCTGGTATTCTCTGCTTTCAGCTAAGATCCATCTAACATCAGCTACCATAAAAAATAAATGCAACTGGAGAAATCACAGAGAATAGCGCCACCATCAGATGCAGGGGTGGTGATTCCCACCCCATCTCCATTTAACTTGCCTATTTTCCGTGCAAAAAAAAAAGATACGGGTTACGGAGCATGATAGTTGCTTATTGTAAACTTAACCCAGTAGTGACTCCACCTGCAGCTGCTGTTCCACATCTCCTGGTACTCAACCAGTGACCTGGTGAAAGCCTTCTCCATTCCCTCTTCAGAGGGTCATAAGAAGTTTGCTTTCAGTTTGCAAGGTCAACATCACCCTTTCAACAGTCTACCTTATGATACATCAACTCTCTAGCAGTATAACTGATGTTTAACAGTATATATCTCATATCAACTCTCTAGTGGTTTAACAGTATAACAGGGTCCACAGGCACCTTGATTACTCTTCCCTTCCACAAGATCGCACACTAGTCCACTACACTGATGACATTACACTGAGTAGCTGTAGGAAGGAGGTACTAGCAGTGACTCTAGACTGTGTAAACCAACTCAGCTGACCCTGAAGTGGCTTTTCAGGAGGCTGTACACTGCACAGGAGGAGACTGCCCATCTTTTTCTGATGAATTTGAACCAAGAGAGAAGTGCAGACTTTGGCTCTGTAGTGCAACTTCCTATGGTGGACTAGTGATAAGAGTTGTTAGGTGCTTTCAAGTCGAGTATGACTCAGAGCGACTCTATGAACAGCGGATCTGTACCTATCTTGTGCAATCTTCACACTTCCTGGCACACAAGAACCCACTATGGCAGTCACCCTGTCAATCCAGCTAGTTGAGGGTCTTCCTCTTCTTTGTCCGCCCTCCACCCTTCCAAGCATCAAGTCCTTCTCCAACGAATAGCTCCCCCTAGCAACATGCCTGAAATATGTGAGGTGAAGCTTCATCATTCTTGCCTCCAAAGAGCACTCTGGCTACACCTTCTCCAAGACATAATTGTTTGTTCTTTTGGCCTCTATGGAATGTTCAATGCTCTTCTCCAACACCACAGCTAAAAGGCATCAATTCTCCTTCTGTCATCCCTATTCATTGTCTAGCTCTCAGATTCATAAAAAGTGATCAGAAAGATCATGGCCTGAATTGGATGCACTTTAATCCTCAAACTGACCTCATTACTCCTCAATGATCTGGAGAGAGGTCCCTAACTGTAGACTTTGTCACTGCAATACATCTCCTGATTTCCTGTCTGCTGGTACTAAAGGTGTTTAATTCTGGATCAAGTAATGCGAAGTTGTTTGACAGTTTCATCTCTTCTCCATCCGCCATGATGCCTTTTGGTCCAGAACCTACTGGTAAGAACCTTTGTTTTTCTGACACTGAGATGCAATACAAATTGAAGGTTGCATTCCTTGATCTTCTGAAACTCCATCAGAGTTAGTGGGTAAGAAATTAACCCAATAAAAGTTCAAGGTCCTTCTACCTCAGTGAAATTTTTAGGGAACCAGTGGCATGGAAGGGAGCACTGGTGGCTTAGTGCTAAGGAGTTGCACTGCTAACCTGAAGGTGCATGGTTTGAATCCACCAGATGCTCTGCAGAAAAAAAGACACGCACTCTGAAAATCCACTAGAGGTTTGGTCAGTTCCAACTTGAAAGTACTTAACAACAACAATGGAATGGGGCATATTGTGATATTTCATCTGAAGTCAACAATAAATTATGATATTTGACTTTTTTTCATAACCACAAAGGAAGCACAAGGCTTGAGGGGCTATTATGGCTTTTGGAGATAACAAGTCCCTCATATATTGGTTTGCCAGCATCATCACTACCACCTCTCCTAAATTCTTGATTTAGAATTACAAAGTAGGGAGCCCTGGTGGTGTAGAGGCTGTTAAATGAAAGGTTGGCAGTTTAAACCTCACTGGCTACTCTGGATTGAGATAGTCTGTTTCTGATAAGATTTATAGTCAGAGGAGGTTGCTGTGAGTCAAATCATGTGAATGGCAACTGAGTCTGTCTTGGTTTTTCTCAGTTGTTAGCCAAAAGCCTGGTGGTTTGAACTTAATTGCCTGCTAAACAGGACAAAGGCTGGTAGTATGCCTCCATAAAGATTTATTGCTTTGGAAACCCAGCGGGGCAGTGCTACTTTGTGCTACAAAGTTGGAATTAATTTGGTAGTACTGGGAGTATCTTATTTACATAACAGTGGTAATAAAAATTACTTTTGAAAAATCCCTTCAGTTATCCCTAATCTACAGTATATGTAGCTTTTCTAACAGAGTGGAGTTTCCCCTAATACTAGATCATGTTGTTTATGTTCAGTTGAGACCAAAGGAAGTAGCTAGAATCATGTAGTATCTACTTTGTAGGGACAAAGATGAGTTCATGTACATTAAATACTGAAATGATGCAACTGTATGCTAATTGCTTTCTCAGCATTCATTGTGACTATAATCCTAATTTCATTTTAACTATGTAGTCTGTGGGCAGTATAAACAAAAGAGTTAACATGTGTGGCTTCTAACTGACAAGTCAGTTACTGAGTCCACCCAGAAGAGCCTAGGAAAAACCGTCTGGTGATTTACTTATGAAAAATCATTCACTAAAAAAATCGATGGAAACAGTGGTAGAATGTTTTTTAGATAAGAGACAGTGGTAATGATGGTACATGCAAAATGCAGTCAGTGCCAGTGAGACGGAAATGTTCAAGTTGTGGTGTTGGCAGATGTTTTGATGTTAATGTTTTCATCACCCCTGCCCCACCCAAAAGGAAGCAAAACCCAAATTGCCCCCTGCACGCACACTGGAGGCTGCCATTTAAAAGGATGGAGAACTGGTTTAACTAGATGCATGCTAGACCACTAGCTGCTTTTTTTTTAAACATCTCCAATAGTGCCCAGCACAGTGAGAATCATAAAACAAATCCTCATTTTTGTCCCTTTTTTGGATAATGTACAAGTCTGCCATTGTCCCTCTTAAAATGTGACATCCATTACTGAAGACATTCCAGGTATGACCTGGTCAATATGGAAAATCACCATCTCCTCCTTTCACTTGTAGTAAGACAACCAGATTTCTTTAGCTCTTGCAGCAGCCATACTAGCCTCTGGTCTACTAAAACCCAAGATCTTTTTCAAAAGGTCTGCTATCAACCCCAAATCCCAATTCCCTGTATTTATTTGTAGAGGTGTTTACATTTATCCCTGTTAAATTTTCCTGGTTTCCTGCCCAAGATTGCAGTCTGCTGATGAGAGGGATGTTTCTGAAGCACAGTTCCGTGGCTTGACAGAGATTTTCACTTTGGTGGTAGATAACAGAAAAAGGGAACCAACCAACCTCCAGCAACAGGCTGAGAAGGGGCCTCCCTTGCCATATCTCTGGTCACCAAGGAGAAGCCACAGGTGCTAATGGAAGATACTGTGTGTAGTTTTAGTCCCTTCTTTTATGTGTTCTGGAGATTCTCTCTCCTGTACTGTGTCTCTATAGCTCTCTAGCAAAGTAGACCCTCAAGTAAGCAACCCCTAAAACAAGGGGGTGGGGTGCCCATAAAGCCCGCGCCCGGACTTGCAGACACACTAGCAGGCAATCGTCTCCCCTGCGCTTTGCAATGCCTGCGCTCCTTCTGGAGGCTCCCCTCCCCCAACCAGCTCTGTGTCCCCGGCCCCGTGGCCCTGTCCCCCCTGCAATCAGGTCACACGTTCACGGGACTGGACCACGCTCCCTGTCAGGCCGTTCGGGTGCACAGGACTTCCCGGGAGGGACTCGCTGCAGGAGCCCGGCCCAGGCAGAAGTGGCGGGCTCCGGGCAGCGTGCAGCGGCGCTGGCGGGGCGTGGGCACGGCGCAGGAGGGGAGGTCTGCACCGCCCAGGACGGCCAGCCGGCCCTGAGAAGCAGTGTCCCTCCGCGCGCTGCCACTGCGCTTGTGGAGCTGAGCTGGGCCCGCGATTCGGGGCCAGAGAGGGGACCGGCCCATACCTGCTCTTGAAGTCCCGGTTATAGATGGTCCGCAGTTGCTCGCGATCTGTCTCCATGTCCCGTCCCTGATCGACCAGAAAAGTCTCGAAGCACTGGCCCGTCTCCCGGAGCTGCCGGCAGCTGAACTTACGGGGCATCGCGGCGGTAGCTGCGGCCCAGGCAAGAGGGTCCGAGGAAATGAAACTGAAAGTCGTCGGCGCAGCTTGAAGTTGGCGGCCCTTGGATGAGGGTGCAGCAGGGGGTAGGCCCCTAACTGACCCCTGACCCTGCAGGCTCCCTTCTCCCCTCTGGTAGGTTCTTTTCCTACCTGATCCTTCCTTTCGATCTCTTCCTCTTATCCCCTCCCCCTCTCCCCATTAACTCTTTCCTAAGGAGGCTGACCCCTCCCTCAGGGCCCTCCCCTTACCCCAGCTCCCTCCCCTGGCATGGAGCCAGAATCCGAACGTGGCTACCGCCCGGGGCCCCTTGTACAACCCAGAAGGTTTCCTGAGCCCCAGCTATGACTACGCCCACACCTCACTCCACCTCCCCAGGGCCTTGGGACACGTTAAATAGCTTGAGAGCAAGGACAGGGACCTGGATCAGCTAAATAGTTAAGGCAAGCCCCAGCAAAGGAGACAGATCCACCCCTGCAACGAACCTCATTTACCCTTTTTGAACTTTAAAATGTAGAGAGCAGAGTCAAAGTAAAAAAGTTTCTTTAAAAAAAAAAAAAATATATATATATATTATATATATATATTTATAAAAGCATCAAAGTTTAAGAATCTAGTGTCTCTGAGATAGAGGTGTGTACGAGTGGGCGTGAAGGGACACAGAGCTCTACCAAGAGGAACAGTGATTGCTTTTCTTTGCTGCATTGACTTATGTGGAAAGCCTGCTGATCCTACCCTGAAACACATCATTTGGGAACTTAATTGCACTCTAGTCTATATTATTGTTTCTAGTATATAAAGGCTGCCTCAGTCATCAAAACAGTAGCTTCTTTTTTTTTTTAAACAGTAGCTTCTTGAGAGCTGGGGACTGTTAGGTAATAAATGATTAATAACCTTTGAATCTTGGTGGTGAAGAGTACTGACGATCTGTACAGGAGAAAATCGAAACCGAGGTGCTCCTTAGAGGCGTGGATGGTGAAACTCCATCTCACATACTTAGGGCATTTTGCTTGAAAAGGGAGGTGGTGTGTGAATGTCAATGTAATGGATTGACATGGTGACTATAACAGTAGGGCCAAGTGTGTAGGAAATGGTGAGGACAGCACAGGATAGGGCAAGATTCAGATCTGCTGTTCATAGAAGGTTGTTCTGAGTCTTTTGACTCCAGAGCACATAACAAGAAGCAACAGCATCAGTACCAGGAAAGGTACAAAGTGCTTCAGAAGAGATTACGAAGACAAAACCAAGTGAGACTACCCAATTAAACATAAAAAAATAAATATAAAATAAGCCTTTGCAACTATTTATCTGTAACATGAAATAAAACAGATAAATGGTAAAATGGGACAAAGTTATACACAATTTTTTTTTTCTTGAACAAATATACTAGAGTTCCAAAGATATCAAGTATACTGTTCTCCAAAGTCATCGTCTTCAGGAGGCTACACAGTCTAACTTAAGTAAATGTAAGGAGTGTCCAAAGTTCAAGTTAAGCTCCAGCTGGGATACCTTTGTACCTTTTCCCAGGCCAACAATAAAATAAAGCCAGGAATAACAGACTGTATCAATAGGTAATGCAGTGTCTGTGGGAACCAAAGTAACAGGGATGGGGTAAAACAGAACAAGTACTTTGAATTTAATTATACAATCAAAAGCAAATTTGAAAAAAAAAAACCCACACCAAAAAGCTATGAAAGTAGTTGAAAATTTTACTTTGTACAAAGGTTTTACTTGAAGCCCAAGAAGAGTAATGGTGAGTGAACAAAAAACCCAAACACCTTATTTTTAAAAGAAATTCAAAAGCCATTATTTTCTGGACATATAATCTCCTGGATGTTATAAAAACACACATAAATACCTGCAGCATAGTTTAAACCTCTGTACTTATGTTAAAATGTTACAGAACTTTGATTACTATGGAATTGTTAAACCAGTTTCATCTGAAAAATCTAATTCACATAGGCTTGTGATGCTTATTTTCATCTTTGTTGTTGTAGGTAGTGTCTTATTTTTCAACATCTGGCTAGAATCTTCCTTCCTTCCTTAACTCTTCCCCAAAGCTACTGGCATTTATAATAATTCAACTTCAAGATTGATTTTAAGTGGGTCCAATCAGCATTGAACAATTTTAGACTGCAAAAGTTAGTAGTATTCAATTTCTTTATCTTTGGCTTTAGTGGTTGTTCTGTATATTTAAATAACAGTTGTTTCAACATGTCTTCCTGGTATGAGTAGTATCCTGTCACTCAAAGCACTGTATTTCAGAATAACATTTGAAATGTTATTATTTTTTTTTTTACTATATATGCAACACTATTCTTCCTTAATTTGTCATCTGGGCATGACAGATCATGATTTACTTGGATCCACAATCAACGCCCATGGTAAGAGCATTCAAGAAATCAAGAGACCTGTTGCACTGGGAAAATCTGCTGTCAGGTAGGACCTCTTTAAGTGTCAACGAGCAAGATGTCAGTTTAAAGACATAGGTGCACCTGATCCATGCTATATCCCCTTTTTCAAAAATGAATTTGAATGAAAAGTTTACAGAAACTGGATTATCATTCATTCATTGTTGCACTTTTCTCCCTGCCCAACTTCTCTCCCAGTTTGTTCTTCTCTTTGAAAAGTAAAATTCTTTCAGTTATACAGTCCCTCCTCCTCATGCTATATTTTCAATTGCTTTCTTTTTCATTTTTTTTATCTTCCCTTCCATGTTGTGTACTATTGAATCGGATTGAGCTGGCACAGGAGATTGCCCCTCCGCCTCCAGAGGAGCATCGGGTGGATTTGAAACGTGTGCCGTTGCTATTGCAGCACAGCTTCTTGCCAGTAGGCCACCAGAACTCCCTTTCCAGTTGCTTTCTATGTATCAGGAACTTGGACAATGAATATGATGTAAGAATTGATACCTTTGAATTGTGGTGATGGAGAAGATTGAGTATTACATGGACTGCCAAAAGAACAAGCAAGTCTATCTTGGAAGAAGTGCAATCAAGGTGCTCCTTAGAGGTAAGGATGGTAAAACTCTGTCTTACATACTTTGGGCATGTAGAACCTCATGTCTGGGAAAGTTGGATGGTAAGAGAAAGAGGAACCCTCAACATTTCATACTGACAGAGTAACTAAGGGCTCCAGGTATCAGAGGTCATTAAGATTTGCTCAAGATGTGGCAGTCTGTTATCCATAGGGTCAATGCTCACTCCAAACTGTGAAACAGACTCTTAAGATTACACTGAAGAAAATTAGATGCTCTCACAGCACCTCAGGGAGCTCTGGTGGCCCAGTAGTGAAGAGCTGTGCTGACAAATGGAAGACAGACAGTTCACACGCACTAGTATCTCTGTGGGAAAAGGACAATAGTCTTTCCCCATGCAGTTTACAGCATCTGAAAATCAACTGGAAGGTCTGCTATGTGCACATGACAACATAACAGCTCAGTAAGCTGGTTTCTACAATTCAGCATTTAAATGGAATGAAAAATAGTCATTAAATCTGTGTTGTTGAATAAATATTGAGGAGGGGGAAGGGGAGAGTATATAAACAAAGACTTGGTGATTGTAGCTTAAAAAAACACCGCCTGTTTGTAGGAACAGAGTCAAAGCCAGATTTTGAAAATGGAAATTGGTCAGATTTCTACCAGAGACCAAAAGAAAAGTTTCAGATGTCTTACACTTAATAATTTTTGGTATCCTGGAAATGATAAGGTAGGAAACTGATTTCTGGTCTCTAAGGGCTTTTGTAGGTTTGTATATGCCTCATCTGTTCGAAGCAAAATCAAAGCTCATCTTGTTAAGATATCTAGTTGTAATTCTGTATTTTACCAATCTTCCTTGGACTTTCCAAGTAGAGGCTGAACTAAAAAGGTAATCTTTAGTAACTGGCTTACTAGGTGGTTCTTTATAAAAATGTAAATTAATAAATAGGCATTTATATATGTATCATTTTGCATCTAAGTTCTAGATGTAAAAGGACAGGTAGTGGCATCTAGCAACCCACCACCACAAATACTAAGGCTCAGATGAAAGGAATAGCCTTCAGCAGTGCCATTTCAAATCCAAATCAGGGCAGCCCCACAGAAAACTGCTTTCCATGTGAATGGGAAACCTTTGCCCTAGGACACCACAGGCTAATTTCTATGGTGTATGATAAAATAGACACAATTTTAGCAAACATTCAGCTGAGGAAGGCTAAGGAATTCGGGGCTCTGCAGGACTTGGCAAGGGCAGTTCACTTACTAGAACACAAATAACCAAAGGTTTTAGATGGCGGTGAAGAACTTTTACAAGTTAGCTTCAACTAAGGCAATCAATAGGATAGCCCTGAAGCAAACAAGTAATAGATGAAAAGCAAAGGCAAGAATATTTGCATCTATCTACACTAACAGTGAAATAGAGCTAAATGTCCCTTAAAATGTGGTAATACGAACTGTTCTGGGGGGAGGGTGGTTAGACACTGGTTCCAACCCAATATGTAACAGAACAAAACAATGCCCAGTGCTGGGATACCTTCACAGTTGTTTGAGTTCACAGCAGCCCTGGTCAGCCTATCTCATTTAGAGTTGTCTTTTGCTCACCCTCTACCAGACATCACGTCTTTCTCCAAGAAGTGGGTCTTTCCTGCTGCACTTCAGTCTTGTCCATTTTCCAGCTTTCACATACATGCACATGAGGTGACTGAAAATATCATGATTCAGGTTAGGCACACCTTAATCATTAAAAGGTTCAGAGAAGCCCAAAATCTCTGTAAATGTTTATGAAAAATAATAAAATATAATTA